TATTATATATACATATATATTTACATCAGTTTTGTAGCTTTTCTATTTCCTTAATAAATTTCACATGCTTACAAAAATGTTAGCTGATGATTTTTATATTATTGCATGCACATGACTTGTCTATGTTTACAAATGCACACACACACACATATATATTGCATATGAGGTAGATGTATTGAATTTTATTTTAGTTCTCTGGGCTAAGAGCATACATTAGTGGCATAGTACATGCCTAGCCCTAAGCAAAGCCATGGGTTAATGATTCCCAGTGGGTTTTCCCCCCTCCAAATCTGTAAAATCTTTTTAAGTAAACATCTGTATACATAATTTGGAAAAGAGCACTTGAAGGAAAGACTAATTTATTGTTGATTTAAGACTATTATCTTTGGATTTATTGTCTAGGAAGATATATTAAAGAAAAAGAACCTCAAAGAAGATACAAGTTTCACATAGCCAAACCCATAAAACTCGTGAAGAAGAACTATCTAGGCTGATATTTATTTATCGTTTTTTAGTGGTGCTATAGATTGAACCCAGGGTGCACACTCTATCACTGAACTACCCCCAAGTCTGAGAGTCAGATTTTGATTCTTACAATTCATATCAAAGGAGAAAAATGCTGAGAAACAGCCCAAGCTGTCACTTTGCCAACTTAGCTACTGCTGTCAAGGAACACTGCACCATGCTATCAAGTGATGAGCAAGCGACTGATGTACGGATTATTCATATAGAAATGACTGGGTGAGAAGGAGAAAAGTCTCCCAGAGTTTTATGAGCAAGATGGAAAAATCCTTCCAGGAGAATTAAAATTCAGTTGTTCTTGTAGAGATGAGCTGCTTTGATAGAGATGAATTGTATTGATAGAAATGAGTTATACTAATAAAGATCAGTTGTATTGATAGAGATGCGTTGTAGACACTCAGCAGATGAAACTCCATCACTGGCCTGCAGCTGGGCATGTTTATGTTGAGATACTGTGTTACACCTACCTCAAATCTCCACTGTCCCTGTTGCTGTGTCCCTCACCATCCAGTCCACAGTTGGAGTCAGAACTGATGATACTGTCCACACAGCAGCCCCCATCTGATGGCATGTGGTAGAAGTGGAGCACATTAGAAATGAGTGTCAACAAATTTTTTTAAAAATAAAAAGATGTTAAAAGGGGAACCAAGATAATACTTGAAACAGTCTGTGCCAAATTAAAAATAATAACAATAAATAAACTGTTGGAAGTTCAAAGAGTAAAACTAAAATAAGGACCAGAGGAAATCATCTTTGTTTTTCTCAGCCAATGGTTATGCAGATCTGTACCAAATCTTTATAGAAAATGCCAGTGAAGGCTCTCTGGCTGCAGCATTATGCTCCTAGAGAAGCATCTCCCCACCCTCCACCCCAGCATTTCTCACTTTCATAAACAGATGGCACAGCTATTTTATTTTAGGAGAAAAACCAACAATGTGTCAACTGTAGGATTCCTATAGCCTGATAAGGCTTTTCATTGTTAAATTTTCACAATCAGTGTCGCTAATTTTCACGATTGACTAGTGTTGCTCTCTAGATACATTTAAGAAAAGGAGACACTTTGGTGCACTCAAATCTCCCTGTTTAAACTCAGTTAGGACTCTTTCAGCTGCCTTAGAAAAATACCAAGTCAACAAACTTTGTATGAAATGAAAAGAAAATCTTATCAAAATCTCCAGCCCAAGTACATGCAGTTGTTTTCTTTTGATTGTTGCCTGCATGCTGTGACGGAGGCACAATGTGTGGAAATGACATAACCATTATTCCCACAAATCAAAGCTGTTGAGAAATGGGAAAGGCCACGCAGAGCTGCTTCATGAAATGTTGATGAAAACAACCCCACTATGCCTTTCAAGTTTTCTCTCTTTCAAGCGTCAATTGTCTCTCAAATTTTAACCATCACTGAGACTTTTGTTTTTTACTTGTGTTAGTGTTGGGAGCTTGTGCATTCTAGGCAAGTGCTCCACCATAGAGCTACACCTCCAGCCCGACTCTATATTCCTTTTCTTGTTTTAACATTATGAAAAGAATATTGTGTTCTTAAGTATTTAAGTGTTTAGCCCATCAAGAAAACATTCAATGTAATTTCTGTGTCTCAGGGGGAGAGCCCTTTCCTTATTTATTTCACATTTAAATAGTACCTGGACAGATGGCTACTCAGGTTGGAGAGCCAAATGCATCAAAAGACAGCATAGAAGGACATTTGCCTCCCTAGCATTCTGAGTTCCCCTCTTGCTTTTGCAGGAGTTTGGCTGGACTTCTGGGATAACCATATTTCATTTCCTAACGCCACAGTGACTGCTGAACACTCAATACCTCCCCATCCAGTGAACATCTCCGGAGTTGGGCTGCAGGAAGGATGGTGCTCTTTCCCTTTACTCTGTTGTAAATCAAGAGATGAAAATGATCATGTGCTTGAGAGTGAAATGAAACTCTGCTGTGGTATTTTGTTAATCCTTGTAGTATTTGTCTTGTTTTTGTGTTTAATTTTTGAGATCAACAGTGTCTCACTGAGCCCAGCCTGGCCTCAACTTGATATGTGGCTAAAGATGACCTAAATCTCCCAATCTTCTTGCCTTAAGCTTTCTTTCAGTGCTTAAAATCATTTTGAGAATGTCATGATCTGAAAATATAGAGGCATACAATTTAGCTATGATTTGGCACATTAATAAAAAGAATAAATACCTTTTAAGGTTTTAAGATTTTTGATTAAAGATTTGCTTTCCTATATAATGTTTCTCCTCAAAGGAGTGTTTCAGTGTTCTGTAAAATAAATTTTAGAGATTATAAGGCTAAAATAGCAATTGAAGCACAGGTCTATGATCAGTCAATGGAAGCCATTTTCCTCCTGAAGGGATGGGGTTAGTTGCCCAGGTTTGTATCATATAACCCTCTTGCCTCTATTGCCGTTAAAGACTACTCTTGAGAGTCTGTCCCTAGGTCAGATCTAGTCATTTAGATGATGGTGTTGGGTTTTACTAGATATGAAAATCCTACATTGGCAGTGCACATTGGAGGGACTAGAATTTTAGGGTTATAGGTAGTTGGTGTGAGAGTTGTTCATGACAAGACTCAGTCACATGTGAATCAGATGACAAGGGAACGTAGAGTGATGCCTTGCACATGGAACCAGCCCGAGAGTGACATGGAGTTGACATGCAGAAAGAAGCAGAAACAAGGGCTCTGGGTGACGTTTGGGAAACCCGTCCTCACCATCCACAGCTTTTTCTGCTCTTTCAATAAATGTTACATTTTCTAGCAGGGTTCAGGTTGGCTCCAGAATCTCTGATTGCCTTAAGCTAATGAGCTCTATCAAAGTTCCCTGCTCATAGGATCAACTCAGGGCAAACATGGGAAACGGCTATAGACTGTGAGGACAAGGAGACAGTTGCTGGAGTTTGGGGAGAAGAAAATTCCTCTGTAATCTATAGGATCTACTTCAAGGTCCTCCCTGCTTTTGAAGATATGACCCAGGAAGCCTGATGTTCTGGTTGGTTCTAACTGTTATTGGGGAAACAACCCAAGGGGAATAGAGTCATGGAAGATTTCGTAGCAGTGGAAAGAAAAGAAAGAAGCCTTGACATTATAGAGCTGTGGGTTTTCTTAAAACTTGGATTTGGAGACATGTGGGCCTGGACATTTCTTTAATCTTCAAGCTATTTGGTTAGATTTTTTTTTTTTTTAACTTGTAACTGAAAACTTAGAGTGACCTAATGATTTTCTAGATCTCAGAAGACTAAGTAATCCCTAGGCTTTCACCGGCCTCTAAGTCAATCTATCGTTAGCATCATCTCCATTGTGTGCTGCCTGGCACACATTGCTTGCATCAGTACAACTTCTTAAGTGATAAATTCTCCTTTCTCTTTACTCTCTCAGTAGCAACACCTGTATAAAATATTTCATTTCTTATTTTTTATTTTATGTGTATGTGTGTTCTGCCTGCATGTAGCTAAGTGTACCTGTGTGTGCAATGCCTACAAAAGTCAGAAGGTATCGGATTCCCTGGAACTAGAGTGATGAATAGTTGTTAGCCACCATGTGGGTGTGGCAAACCAAACTCAGGTCTTCTGCAAGAGCATCCAGTGTTCCTAACTGCTTAGATATCTCTCTGACCCCCCCTATAAAAATCTTATGTATAGTAGTATATTTTAGGGAGGCATCTGATTTTCAGTTTTTGTCAAGTGGTCTTTGAGACGATAAAAGAGAACTTTCAGTAACCTATTATGAAAGTGACTATAGAAGAAACCAATTAACTTAATCAAGGCTGAGGGAAGGGATAGCGCTATGAAAACAGACAACATAGCACATGCTTATTTATTTTATAGATTTTATAGACACTTTCATTCCTACCTTGATAAGATTTTTTGGTTTGAAATGAAAGACCATATAAAAATGTTGTACATTCCATAGGGTGTACCTGGATCTATTACCTCACTTAATCCTGACAATCCTGTCTGTGGGTACCATTATTCCCATCAGATATTTGAAGAAATTGAGGAAGATATTAATTAACTTGCCCAGGTAAGTGACAAACTAAAGATTAGAGTCAGATGATCCACTGTTAGGCTGAAAATGTAGCTCAGTTGGTAGAGAGTTTGTTTAACAAGAACCTGGTCCTGAGGTCCATCCCCACCAGCACGTAAGCAGGTATGATAACAAACACCTATAATAATTCTGTTACTAGGGTAGTGGAAGCAGGAGGATCAAAAGTTCAAGGTTATCTTCTACCACATATCGAGCTGGGATACATGAGATCCTGTTTAAAAAAAACACTATTACTTATGATAATTAGAAAATATGATTAACTTATAATCTGTGGCTTTTCCAGGTTTGAGCTCTGATTGAAAGGATGTCAAGGCATGCATAGAATATTTCTGGGCAAATGATAAGAATCTATAACAGTGGTTTCCTCCAGCCATGCTAACTAGATGGCAGGAAGTAGGAGACAGTTATTGCTCAATGTCCAGTATTTTGTGCCATTTCAAGTTTGGACCATATGCTTACATTATTTTATCCAAAAAGCTGACATATTTTTAAACAAATCATATGGAAAAATTTCATTTCAGAACACAAGAAGGATGTAACAGATGACCTCAGATCTCTTCGAGCTCCAAAATTATTTTATTGTGTGGTTCTCTGAAAAGGCTCCTGTTTTAGAGAATACAGAGATTTCTGCGCTGAATAGTCTCCCAAATCACTAAGATGAAAAAGATCCTTAAAAGGTCACGTGTATTTGTAGCAATATCAATGGCTTGTAAAGCAATCAAATGAATTAAATTAAAATCTGGAAGCCAACCTTCAGATTCAGATTGGGTCAAATGTCTTTAGGGTCCAATAAAACTAAAAAGGACCCACAGGGACTTAAAAGGATAACTTTGTTGTGATTAACACCAAACTACCTAAGGGGTGGAGAGAGCAGCAGTTAGGAGTCTAACAATGAATCACTCAGGATGTCTCCCATGAGGGTGGATGAGCTGGCGGGAAGCAGGCTTTGCACATTTTTATCTTCTCAGGAACACAGCAGGCATCTTGTGAAATCCCTAGGATGAGCCCCATAACCAGAACAAAGGAGAATAAAGAAAACTCATGTGCATAGACACTGGCAATCTGCCTCGGTTTTCTAATGACAGACCCTATTGGAGACTGGAACCCCTTGGAGTCTGACCTTGTCTCTGTTTACCGAAGTCATTTTAATGCGTGCATGCGTGTGCTCAAAGTAACTGTTTTGCATTGATCACATCTTTTCAATGTCAGAGATATCAATTGTGTGTCGCTGTAAGAAGGTTTCTCATTAAACATGGCACAGTTTTTCAGTACCTGCTTGAATGTTGGTGTTTCTGAGCAGTGTGAAACAGTAAAAACAATGAAAGCCACTTTAATGCACTGGAATTAAAGTGAATATGACCCGTGCAGCCAAGCTCCACTGATTTTAGCATGGAAGACAGTAACATCTGATTTTGTTGCTATAGAAAGCAAATCAGTTCTGCTAACTAAAGCTCACAGTATTTTGCACATTATTTTTCTGAATTCCTTCTGTCTATTTTAGTGTTTGAAATGGTAAAAAAACTCTGTCC